TCTACCATTTTTCACACTGAAGTGTGGTTACAATTACGCATGAGCAGAATTTTATCTGCAGCAAAAGACAATTGGATGGTATTACACATGACCAGACCATTATTTGTAGGCTTGCGGTTATTTGCCGGTCATGTGAAGGGCTCTCAGCCAATAAAAAGGAAGGAAAAATGCATTGAATGATAACAATTACTTAGTTCCCAGGACCATATAACTTCACTAAAATTTGCAGCCTCTAATAATGAATGCACAGTTAAAAAACCACTACTCTTTGTTAACTTGTCCTCTTGATATAGTTCAAAAGGGTGGGTGCTACAAGATGGTCTCACTCAATATATAGAGGACATTACACAGTGGCGAGAAGATATGAATTTTATGTTTGAGTGGCAAGAACAATATCTCACTTGTGAGTGCAGTGAATGAGTGCGAAATTGATCTTGCCATGAGAACATAAAATTCATATCTTCGAGGTAACATATAATGTTCTTTTTATTATATATAGACATACTGATGACGGCGTTTTTGAAAATTTTCTGAAGATTTTCGAAGATTCTCCAAAACTTGTCTGAAGGTCACACAAACATGATTGCTAAACATTTTCTGAAAATTTCCTAAGATTTCCGAAGATTACTGAAGACTTCCAAGGAAGACCTGAAGATATTTCGATGACACACCAACGAATTTAAGTACAATTTAAGAGACAAACTTGATATCAGTGAAATCATCGATATCTTCACTAGTGAGGATATGGAAAACATGCCACTCGAGTCCCGGTTGTGGTTTCGCATGAATTTTATGAGTGGTGTATTTTCCAGTAAAACACTCGTGTCTATACAATAAATCCTGACATACACTACCAGAGAATAAAAATACAAGACATAATAATTTATGCCAGTGTATAATTATCACATTTTAAACCAATTTCTTTCCGGAATATCAGTAAAACACGAGCACCNTTATTTGTAGGTTTCCAGTTATTTGCAGGTCACGTGAAGGGCTCTCAGCCAATAAAAAGGAAGGAAAAAATGCATTGAATGATAATAATTACTTAGTTCCCAGGACCATACAACTAAACTAAAATTTGCAGCCTCTAATAATGAATGCACACTTAAAAAACCACTACTCTTTGTTAACTTGTCCTCTTGATATAGTCTAAAAGGCTGGGTGCTTCAAGTTGGTCTCACTCAATATATAGAGGACATTACACGGTGGCGAGAAGATATAAATTTTATGTTCGAGTGGCAAGAACAATCACTTGTGAGTGCTGTGAATGAGTGAGATATTGTTCTTGCCACAAGAACATCAAATTCATATCTTCGAGGTAACATGTAATGTTCTTACTATTATATATAGACATGCTGATGACAGCGTTTTTGACAATTTTCTGAAGATTTTCGAAGATTCTCCAAAACTTGTCTGAAGGTCACACAAACAAGATTGCTAAACATTTTCTGAAAATTTCCTAAGATTTCCGAAGATTACTGAAGACTTTCAAGGAAGACCTGAAGATGTTTCGATGATACACCAACGAATTTAAGTACAATTTAAAAGAAAAACTTGATATCAGTAAAATCATCGATATTTTCCTTAGTGAGGATATGGAAAATACGCCACTCTAGTTCCAGTTGTGGTTTTGTATGAATTTTACGAGTGGTGTATTTTCCAGTAAAACACTCGTGTCTATATAATAAATCCTGACATACACTACCAGAGAATAAAAATACAAGCTTACATAATAATTTATCCCAGTGTATAATTATCACATTTTAAACCAATTTATTTCCGGAATATCAATAAAACACGAGCACTATAAAAGTTGGTTGTTTGCAATCAGATGTTCAATTCATGACTTACAGTTTCATTAGTTCATACATGTAGCTTGGAAAAAATGGTACAATTTTCCAGAGAAAATCTTCACCCACAAAATAGAAGTGCAACCAGAAACTTTTCCTGCTATAAAAACCTCTGTACAAATGCACTGTCCTTCATACCTTAGAAACAATAACAGACATGGCAAGTGTTTCTGAGTGGGCTGCGACATAACCAAGCATCATGATTCCAGGCAGACGTACATTTCCTTTGGATTCCTTGATATAGTCTACCACTGCTCCAACCCCTCCAGCATTTGTAATCAACTGCGCAAGCTGATTGGATAAGGTGAACAAAGTTTCATAAATAACTGTACATAACTCACAGGTACAAGGTTGTTAACAATTAAGTGTTGTGCAAGGTTTAAAGGGCTGAGAATTATTCTACAAAAGTCGTGTAACATCAGACGTTCAGGCACACAAAAATTAAAAAAAACAAATAAAATGATCCTCTAAAATAGGATGTAATCTGTAGGACACACAGTCACACACTCTCAAAATTTACAAACATAATACAAAGTTGAACCAGATAAGAAGTCTACATGTGCATCAAAAGGATTAAAAGTTTCTCAAGTTGAACATACTAT